AACGTTAGCAAGCATGGGTATGTTCTCGCCACCCCCTTCCCTGACTCCCTGGCAGATGCGGATGCAGGAGACTCAAGCAAGGGAGGAGCTGGAGGTGCTCAGGGATGACAAAGCCACCAGATGAGAAAAGCTTGGGTCCCCAAATCAGCACGAGGAAGACCACCCCAGGAACATCAGCCTGCACTTGTGGTTTAAGACAAAGTTTTTATTGAGGGAGGGGAGAGAGGGGAGCGGAAATCAGGGAGTTCAAGAAGAAAGAAAATGTTTTGAAACTGACTGCGGTAGCAATCGTACAGTACTGCTTGAGGCGACTGAACTATGAAATGTTACGCTATCTGTGAGAGTTCCCAATAACGTGATTAACAAAACAAACAACGGGGATCCCTTAAAAAATAATAGTGACTTAGAACGAATGAGATTCCTGACTGTTAGCTATCACAGTGAGGCGGCGCCCCAGCGAACAGTTGCTTGGACTGAGAGATGCTGGAAGCAGAAAGTGAACAATTTATTTCCTAAACTGTGCGACTGGTTGGGGACAAGCAACCGTGCAATGAATGCCTTCAACAGAATGTAGAGACAGGAAGGGCAAGGAGCTATTGCCCCATTTGCCCAACCCCCCACTAAGGATGCCCCGCCCCCAGTCTGCTGATGGAGCGCTGGAAGATGCCATCACTCTGGAAAGGAACACAGAGGCCCCTTGCTGTGCTAGTGGGGGCATCATCTGTCGAGGTCCTTGGGAGATGCAAGGGCCGGCAGGATGGGCTCCCCCATAACTCCCAGAAGTGCACCTGCATGAGAGGCACACTCCGCCAGCAGCAAGGCAGCCCCGCAGGCAGGGGCTCAGCAGAAGACTGAAGGGGGCAGGGGTCCAGCCGGTCTCTGCTCTGAATGGCCCAGATGGACCACAAGGGCAGGGAGAGAGCAAACGGAGGGCACCAACTTCCTTGGCCGCAGTCACATGAGCCGGTCTGTTTGCCGAGGGAAAGGGAAGACGCCGTTTCTGAGGTAAAAGCTCTTTGTGATGGGCTGGCACCTGCCGTAAGTGGGAGTCTTGGTGTTCTTCATGGTCTCTTCTGGAACACAGCAGAGCCCCAGGTGAGCAGGGTCACCCTCCTTCTGCCAGTCCTGCACGACCCATGGGGCTGAGGGCCAGCAGGGACACCCTGGACGGTGGCTCTGGCTGTGGGAATACTGAAATACTTCTGTGCTCCTTAGGAATAGCTGCCGCCCCCAGGAGCCT